ATGACTCGGCACTGGAGTGATTTTCGCAAGTGCCCTCGTGAATTTCTCGTAGAACGTAAACGATGTCTCTTGGTCCCAAATATATCGCCAACGGTCCATCGAACATTCTCCTATATAGCGTTCCATCCTCGGCCAATGTGAACCGTGCAGCCTTCGTGCGTAGAGTCCTCGATTCCTTAGGATCCAATGGAAGCTTCCCGTTCTTTAGGTATCCGATATACTTATTCCTCCAATCCCAAGTTAGACTTGTGGAGTTTATTTCGGCGTGAATTTCTTCGATTACTGACCTCGAAAGTTGTACGACAGTCCCCGAGCTAAGTTCGTCATCTTCGATCGATAACCCCAAATTTGCAAGGGCATCAGCCTCGTTGTTTTGTTCTCGAGCTACGTGTTGTAGGGTCCAATCGTTAAATCGATGTAGAGACACATGTAGTTTGTCCAAGTACCTCTGCATTCGATCTTCTCGAACCTCGAAAGTTTTGTTGACTTGATTTACCACAAGTTGGGAGTCACACTTGGCCTCAATGACCTCTACTTCCAAGCTCTTAGCTAGCTCGAGACCTGCAATCATGGCCTCATACTCGGCCTCATTATTAGTTAATTTTGAAGTTTTGATAGACTGACTAATTGTATTACCTGTGGGCGGCTTCAAAACGATGCCTAGCTCGGATCCCTTCGCGTTCGAAGCGCCGTCTGTGAAGAGGGTCCACACCCCCGATGATGTACCCGATTTTGAAAATAGTACCTTTTTGACCTCGAGTACGAGGGTTAGCGTGAAGTCGGACACGAAGTCTGCCAAGATTTGAGACTTGATGGCCGTTTGGGGTTGATACTCGATATCGTACCCGCTGATCTCGACGGCTCATTTGGCCAATCGACCCGAGAGTTCGGGCTTGTGCAAAATGTTGCGAAGGGGATAGGTGGTTACAACACAAATTGGGTGACACTGGAAGTACGGTTTTAATTTCCTAGAGGCACTTATCAGAGCGAGCGCTAATTTTTCTAAGTGTGGGTATCGGGTTTCGGCCTCTCCTAGGGTTCGCCTAATATAATAAACAGGGAATTGCGTACCTTGCTCTTCTCGAACTAAGACCCCACTTACCGCTATCTCCGAGATCACTAAGTATAAGTAGAGTTGCTCATCCGCTTTCGGGGTGTGAAGCAATGGCGGGCTCGACAGGTATCGCTTCAGTTCCTCCAAGGCTTGTTGACATTCTAGGGCCCATGCGAAATTACTCTTCTTCTTGAGTGGTGAGAAGAAATGGTGGCTCCTAACTGAGGACCTCGAAATAAATCGACCTAGGGCGGCTATGCGCCCTGTCAACCTTTGTACAGCCTTGACATTATCAAAGACTGTGATGTCTTTGATTGCCTTGATTTTATCGGGGTTGATCTCGATCCCTGATTTGATACCATAAAGCCGAGGAACTTGCCTGAACCGACCCCGAATGCACATTTCTCCGGGTTGAGCTTCGTGTTGTACTTCCTTAGTATGTCGAAGGTCTCCTGCAAATGTTTTAAATGGTCCTCTGCTCGCAGGGACTTAACTAGCATATCGTCAATATAAACCTCCATTGATTTACCTATTTGTTCTTCAAACATTCGATTTACTAGGCGTTGATAAGTAGCACCAGCATTTTTTAGTCCAAACGGCATTACGTTATAACAATAGGTGTCGTATTTAGTGATGAACGGAGTCTTTTCCTAATCCTCCGGGTTCATTTGTATTTGATTGTAACCGGAGTAGGCATCGACTAAGGATCTCGTTGTCGGCCGTGGCATCGGTTATGCGATCGATATTCGGCAAAGGAAAGGAATCTTTAGGGCATGTCTTGTTTAAATCCTTATAATCTACGCACATTCTAAGTTTATTTCTCTTTTTAGGGACTACAACTACGTTTGCTAACCATTCGGGATATTTTACCTCCAGAATGGATCCTATATTGAGAAGTTTTGTTACCTCATCCTTAATGAATGCATGCTTTACCTCGGACTGGGGCCTTCTCTTTTGTTTTACAGGGCGGAACTTCGGGTCCAAGCTTAGTCGATCGTAGTGATCTCCGGTGGGATCCCTGTCATATCTAGGTGGGACCAAGCAAAACAATCCATGTTATCTAAAAGGAATTGAACGAGTTTTTTCCTGAGCTCGGGGGTTAACCTCGTGCCCAGGTATACCTTTCGATCGGGCAGACGCTCGATCAGTATGATTTGTTCCAGCTCTTCGACCGTCGACTTCATTACATCAGAATCATCGGGGATTATGAAGGTTCGAGGTATCATATAATCATCACCCTCGAAAGTTTCCTGCTCCTCCGATCGGGCCGAGGCTGGTGACTGTGGTTGCTATTTGACTTCTTGCTTTCCCTTTGACTCCGATCCCTTTGTTGATGAAAGCGCCGATACTGGTACTACTTCGACGATTCCAAACATTTCTTTGGCGGCAGGTTGTTCACCGTACACCGTTTTGATTCCTACTGATGTTGGGAACTTCATGACTTGATGAAGCGTCGAGGGCATTGCCTTCATGTTATGGATCCAAGGTCTTCCGAGCAGCGCGTTGTACCTCATGTCACCTTCGATCACATGGAACTTTGTTTCTTGGATGGTCCCAGCCACACTTACTGGCAAAATGATTTCCCCTTTTGTGGTTTCACTTGCCATGTTGAAGCCGTTAAGTACTTGAGCTGTGGGCACGATTTGATCTTGGAGGCCGAGTTGTTCTACGACCCATGATCGAACAATGTTTGCCGAGCTACCTGGATCAATAACACACGTTTAACTTGAATTTTATTCATAAGGATAGATATTACCAGTACGCAGTTGTGAGGTTGTTCGATCCCTTCTGCATCCTCATTGTTGAAAGACAAGGTTTCTTTTGGCAAGTAGTCCCGAGTTCGCTTTTCCCTTGTAATTTTCATCTAGGTGCGTTTAAATATTGGTCCTTGAGGAACATGGACTCCTCCAACAATCATGTGAATCACATGTTGTGGCTCTTCCTGCTCGTTCTGTCTGTTTGAATCTTTGTTTTTGAAGTGGTTCTTGGCTCGGTCACTTAAGAATTCTCCAAGGTGACCCTCTTAAATAGGCGGGCTACCTCCTCGCTCAGTTGTCTGCAGTCTTCGATTTTATGACCATGGGTACCATGGTATTTGCATATTTGATCAGGGTTCCTTTGAGCTGGATCGGTCTATAAAGGTTTGGGCCATCTAGTATCCTTGATCCGTCCAATGGCTGATACAATACCTGATGCATCGATGCTGAAGTTGTATTCTGATAGTCGTGGTGCTTCTGTGGGCTCGACATGTTTATCGAAGCCACTTTTACTCATTAGCCCTCAGGAGTTTTGTCCTCGGTCATTCCTTCGATCATTTCGAAAGTGATTACGCCCTGGGCCACTGTTTCTACGATCTGCGATGTATGGTTGATACCGATCTCTGTTCGATCGGGGTTCTCTGTCGATGTCCCTTTGAATCCTACCGATGGGCCTATTTGGGTAAACGAAACCGGAAGGGGTCCCCAACTAATCATCCTCAACCCTGATCTTTGACTGATACCAATTATGTACATCGGCCCAGGTCAAAGCTGGATATTGAATTAAATTCTGTTTTAGTTGTCGTGATGCTATCGAACTTCGTTCATTCAAACCTTGAGTAAAAGCTTGAACAGCCCAATCATCTGTGACCGGGGGTAGGTCCATGCGTTCCATCTGGAACCGAGATACGAATTCCCTCAACATTTCGTTGTCCTTTTGTTTCGCTTTGAAGAGGTCCGACTTCCTAGTCGCAACCTTTAATGCTCCGGCGTGTGCCTTCATGAAGGAATCTGCAAGCATGGCGAAGGAATCAATGGAATTGGGCGGCAAATTGTGGTACCATATCATCGCCCCTTTCGATAAAGTTTCTCCAAACTTTTTCAACACAACGGATTCAATCTCATCATCTTCTAAGTCATTCCCCTTTATTGCGCATGTATAAGAAGTGACATGCTCATTAGGGTCGGTGGTTCCATTGTATTTGGGAATTACTGGCATGCAGAATTTTTTCGGGATGGGCTTCGGAGCCGCACTTGGAGGGGAAGGTTTCTGCATGAACTTCTTCGTATCCAAACCCTTTAGAATCGGTGGCGCCCCCGGTATTTGGTCAACCCGAGAGTTGTACGTTTCTACCTTTTTGTCATTTGACTCGATTTTCTTTTCACCTGATTTAATCCGCTTAGTGAGCTCCTCCAGCATTTTCATAATGGCGGGGCCAATCCCCGATTCATTGGCGTTCGATCTCTCCGGTACAAGTTCGGCTCTATGAACAACTTCTTGTGATGGCTCGAGCTCAATTCTGCTTGCTGCTCGATTTTGGTTTTAGAGTTGTGCTATCGCAGCTTGTTGAGTCTGCAACATCTCGAACATCGTTCGAAGGCTAATTTCACCTTCTTCACCGCTCTGTGCGTTCTGATCGGTTGCTGAGCATCTCTGCGGATGCTATTTTCAGAGTCGGCGCCCAAATTCCCATTAAGGGCAATATGGGAGCTAACGTCAATTGGGTCTATGGCCAGGGGTCCATCGGGGTTGACTGGAGGCACTCCGTTTCCCGGGGCGGCCATGTTGTAATTTTCGCCGTGGAAGCCAAGGCCATGTTGTCTGTATGTGTGGGCGCTACTTGAGAGTTTGACATGTTGATCCTGAAATCAAAGACACTTACAAGAACAAGCGTAAAGCGGTGTATGTTATGAGAATTAATACTAGGCAATCACTATTATCCTTAGCCCCACGGTGGGCGCCAAACTGTTTACCCTTAAAATTGGTTAACAATTAAACTTATAATGTGATTTTAAGGACACGTGATTTCACCTAATACCAATTGATAAATGTGAAGATTAGTGATAGAAATTAACAACAAAGCGAAGCAAACCAGCGTCGAAACGGAATTCAATCCTCAGTAAGAGTGTGCTTGAGCTGATTGATACCAGACAAGTAAAAATAAGGCAAGCTGATGAACAAGAGAGTATAAGAGAGAAGAGAGGAGATTATTGTATTGCTTTGATATGCGTGAATGTCAAATGGTCACAAAAATGATTAGGTCCCTCTTTATATAGTAGAGGAATCCTTTTTTATGGTACAATTCTAATTACAGAAGTAAATCTCTTGATGGGCTAAATAACCGCTCTTAATGTGATCCGTTCCGAGATTTTCACCATAATTCTCTGCCAGTCATGAATATCTCGCATTCTCGTTATTATGCTATCTTCGGTCTTGCTCGATGTCTATCCTGTTTAATCTCGATCATCATCGACCTCGACCTGAACAGGTGCTTCGAATCTCGAACTCGGCGTCTTATCCGCATATCTCGATCTGATACACTGCGGGGCCGATCTTCGAACTATCGCCCTGGTCCTGGCCAATTAGCGTAATCGAATGAGCCTAATTTTAACCGTATACACAGTTCTTCATCTGCCATGTCATAAGCTATCTACACAGTATAATTTCCGAACGACGGGGTGTCAACTGACTCCCCCTGCCGATGAGTGGCTCCGCCACTGGTCATAATAAATCTCAATTTTTTTCTTTCATGGATTTCGTCATACTTGTGGCTGAGATGCTTCATCTGCTCTATCATAGTAGTCAGTTCACTGTAACTTTTTCCTCGAGACCAATTTCTGCAATGGATTTCAACTATTGGCGAAGTCAGAAATTTTTCCAAGGGTTCTTCAAATTGAAAGAAGTAAAAAAAAGTTTCCCGACAAAGGGTGTTCAATATATGTTATATACCTTTAAAACCTAATATTTCATGTATATACGCCGTGTAATCTACCGACGAAGGGTGGTCAAGAGCGTAGCTTCGCCCATGAATCCAACCACTGTAACCTTTCAAGATCTCAAGTGTCTGAAATCTCTGGTGATGCAACCTAAACAATTTCCGACGAACGACGGTTCTTTCTTTTTCTATTTTTTTTATATACCAGATTTCGACCTTGCTAAGCTGAATGCAAATTCTTGTATACTAAATTAAAAAATACTAGTGTTAAATAAAGAAGATTAGCACCAAGACGCATGCTATTATATGATTTACAGTATTCGAGTAATGAGGCATCCCCTCAAACTTTGGATGACCCCGGTAATACTAAAAAGACCTAAATTCACTGATTTTACAAGGAAAAACTCCAATTGACAGCGATAATTGACCATAAATAAGACGTATCATATCAACGAGAATAATGTTGCTGCAACTTAGACTGACGAATTCTCATCTAGTTCCCTTTTCTTTTCATTTTTTCCTCTCCTTGTTCCCTTTTTCTCAACCAGTTGGCACTAGGGAGCAGGAGAGCATTCTTTGTAGCTACTCTTATATCAGAGCATGTTTGGATCACTTCAAACACTGCCCTTCTCTACTAATAGTAAAAGTGTTCATATTGCCGACAGCAAAATTTGGGAACTTCACACATCAGTCTGCATGATCTATAGCTTTTCCAGCAGAATAGAATCCTTAAAAATTGGCTTACCATGTATTGGTGCGCTTCAAGTAGGCAAATACACCAACACTTGTTAGCACAACAGCGCCCGCAAAAATCCCCATGTGCAGTGAACCCCATCCATCTTTCTCAACAGATGTAGTACTCAATTCTGGCTCTGATTTTTCTTGGTTTACATCAGAGTAGTCTAGATGCAATCTTAAGGCCTGCAAAAGAAATGTAGCAGTCATGAAAATAAGAATGATATGACCAAACTGTCCACAGCCTGTATACATCCACTGACAAAAATAATAGCCTGAGGGAATTTTGGTCATCATCACAGAGTTTTGATGCTAAAAGGGAAACAAAAAATTTCAGAGAAAATCAAAACACTTGTTAATTACATACGAGTTGGTATTAAAATTATTCACATGACAATTCATTTCTCTGCCTAAGCTATTCACAAAATTCTCTCTGGAATATGATTACAACGTCATTAACAAGGGGAAGCAGTTGCTCGTGACACGGTCTCCCGCAATTTTGACAACCATAACTTAACAGAAGTCGATGCAATAGGAAAAACATAGGCCAACTACATAGACAGCCCCCTAAAATTGACACTTAATTTCAGTTGGACACCTCAACTGACCCTTGAACTTGTACCTATTAGACATTCCAACATACTACAGTGTACCTATTGGACACCTGAGCCACATTCTTTGTTAAAAAAGTAGGGCATGATTTTTACTCTGCTGATATGAAAAAAGGAACCAATTAATGGACGCCCAAGTGTAAATAATAAAAGCAAAAAAATAAATTTGAAAAAGAAAAACAAAAGGAGTTTTAGCCATAAAATAAAAACTTTCTTTTGCGATAATTCTCTCGACGAACGTCCCCCCTCCCTTCGTCGTTTTCATCGTTCTTTTTCTTCTCCATTTCTTTTTGGCCTTTTCTTTGTTTTTTCTTCATCTATCTTCTGTTGAAATAAACATAATACCTACGAGTCTAGTACAACAAAGACGTTAGAGATCGGAATATCAAATCTTGCCGAACTCTTCCTCTTCAAAGCTGCCGGGAAGTAGAAACAGAAACAGAACAGGCAGTAGAAGATCTAATAAGGTGCTGGGTGTATTTGGCAGAGTATTTTACTCCATACTAGAACATCTGAACAGAACAATCTTCCATAGTATATGTTTACTCCATATATAGCAGATCCATTTCCCTTTTCATTCTTGGGTGCAAAAGCTAACATGTGCATTATTTGGTTCCTCCAGATTACTATGTCGTTTCTTTCTCGTTCTTTCACTGTTTTGATGATTTATACGACGATTTATATTTGTGGGATCATGATAGTCTTTGTGGTTGTCGATTCCTTCTTATAAGGAGCAGAAAGAGAACTCTGCAACAAACCAGAATCTGATGTACGCAAACGAGCATCATCAGAAAAGTAGCCAGAAAGGGGATATTCATAATGGGGTGGGCAGAATTAGAAATTTTGGCGGACAAAAACTGATGAAATTTATTTTATTTAATAACACGATGAAGATTAAGAAATAAGAAAAAAATTAGTAGGATGGTGACCAAAATGGTAGATGGAGATGGAGAGAAAGGAGAAAGAAGACAGATGAACAAGAAGTGTTAGAGAGGGGAGAAATTGGTAATCTTTTAGCAATGTCAGCGAAATGTAAACATTCACGCGCCTAAATGTAGTGAGAATCACTCTTTATGCCATGTCAGCTTTATGTTTAATAGGTACATTTTGGTGAGTGTTGGAGTGTCTACTAGGTACAAGGGTCAGTAGAGGTGTCCAAATAAAAATTAGCCCCAACTTTAGGGGGCTGTCTATGTATTCGACATAACAAGGGGCATCTCCATACCTTTAGCCCTACTGATCTGGCATGGTTAACTGCACCAACAAGATCACTATCAGTTGTCAGCAGAACTTTATCGCCTTCATCATCTTCATACTGCAATAAGAATAGAAAAAGTTCATACCATCTTCATCTCCTCATTTACCACATGAAGAGCAGAAGTAAATTCATCAAGGCGGAAAAAAGATTTTCATTTACACCTACCAAAAGTTGAGGACGATTTTGTTCATCTACTGCACCTAACCTTTGCATAACCACAGTAACAAGCTCCACTAAATTCTCTGAGCCTGAGAAAGAAAAAGCGGAGGGTCAGATGCATGCTCTAAGAATTACGTTAGATTAGTGCATGAATAGAACCTCTAAAGACTGTAGGAGAAATTCCTATGCCAGTAAAAGCTTTGGTGTTGCTTCTTATAACTGAATTTTACACTACTGGAAAGTTAAAATATTAGAAAACCATCGACCTCATTAAGCCACCTTGAATCCTGCAGTGTAGTTGTAAAAGCACAACCCTAAACAAGAGAAGATTACTCAATGGCAGGATTCCAGTCAATATCATAGGGCAAAACTCGTTTTAGGTTTTCAAGTTGCTAATATTAGCTTTTTAGAAGCTTTTAAAAAATGCAACATTACCAACATAAAACCTTTTCTCCCATCAGACACTTATTTTAATCATATTCACGGAAACTTGTGTCTTGTTCAACCAAAAATTACAGCCCTTTAAGTTTAATTGAAGTTCCAGTTTCTTCAGCCTGCACTTCAAGGCTTAGTCAGACTCCTTATGCTTTTAATACGAACTTCATCAAAACATTGAAACATAAGAAATTCTCCTTCAAGACTCCTGCAATGAAGCACAGACTACATTCTCCAATGGAAAGGGATATGATACTCTCATGATAAAATGGAAACTTCAAATATTGATCCCTTCATTCCAATTTGTGTGGTATTATTTGCTTATTATTCAACTTTAAACTTTTCAACCCTTAATGAGAAGCTTTTATAACTACACAAATTGTGATGGCATGTTTAAGATCACAAGTTTCAAAAGTTTATAGGCACACAAACATACATATTTAAGACCACTAAGTTTCAAAAGTCTTCTTTCTTCTTTTTTTTTTCGTGCCGAGTCAATGCCATACAAATTGGAACGGAGGGAGTATTAAATGCAGTTGCTGGAAGATATCCAAATGAGTTCCATAGCAACTCAGCTTTATAAAAGTGAAAGCATTATATATTGCAAAAAGCAATTGTTCACAACAAAAATGGGTATGTTGGAATTTAAGAGTTACTAAATATAAAAATGAGGTATTCTTTTTTAAACAAACTAAAAAGAAATGTAAGGCAAACTGAAAAGGAGTATATCTACTTGTCAAGGTAAATAAGTTCAACGATACAGCCTTCCTCTACAAAATGTTGACTAACGTTCCTAGTGCACAATGTAATGAAAGTCTATACAGCACTCACCAAAACTAAATCTGTGGACACGACCTTTAAGGTCCTCAAATTTAAAAGCAAATGTATTTCCAAGACCCAAAGATGGATATCCAGATTTTCCAGCTTCTGTCCCTTCTGACATCATCAATTGAGACATAGACATCTCACTGTATGATAAGCAAAAGAATAAAGCATGCACTGTTAGTTTTATATGCCCAGAGTCAAGAAAGCAACACCATGTAGGAAGCAAAAGTACCTGAGTGTATCATAATCGTCTGGTGGTTCCAGGTTAAGTGCCGAATCCCAAAACTTCTGCATCACAGTATTGGCCACTTCATTGACAGCACCAGAGCTGCTCTCCACCTTAGGGAAACAGCAAATTTAAGACAACATGCTCGGTATTGCACTCCTTCCTCAAAAAACTATGGTACATTATGTCCTCATAGATGCAAGTCCTAATTCACTTACTGAGGCTTTATTTGACGGTTTGACCAATTTTCATGTGAATCCGGACTCTGATTAACTCGTTTTTCAGAAACAACAACCATATATTTAGAAACATTGAAAAAAAATACAGCAAGTGTGCCTTCTCCCACTTCAAAATAGAGCCCTCCATAGAGTTGATACATTCAAGAATAGGAGCCTAATGCAGAAAATATAACCTATATAACCACGATAGGTTTTACAAAATTAGAACTTCTAGGATCAGCAACCAATGAAACACGCTAAATCGCTAATATAGAACATCAATATAATTGCATACCGCTGCATGCCCACCATATTAAACCTGAAACAATTGGTCTCAGGGGAATAGCCACTTCCTGAAGCAGTCTTTCAAATGTGTTTGATGGAATTGCTATATCGAACTCGCAGCTTAGATAGGGCTTCTCTGTTTTAACTAAATTAACTGGTGCTGATAATGTAAAGGAAATCACTTGGACAACTCATGAAGAAATAAACAAACATGTTGAAGCAGTGTTTGGTTACTAGTTGATAAAAATAAAGCAAGAGTGGCCTGCAAGGCTTAGTTCAAGTAGCAAAGGTTGAGGGACTTGTGACTTAGGTCATAGGTTTGAGGCCTTCGCCATGTGAATAAAGCCTGGTATTTAAGTGAAGAAGGGTAGACGGGTGGGCCCATAACCCCAAGTTTCGAAGGTTGCGGTTGATCCTAAAGGTCAGCCCAGAGGGATTTCTCAGTTATTCAAAAAAAAAATAATAACACCACAAAAAACAGAGAGTGACAATTCACCAAGGAAATAGGCTATGCATGTACACCCCTTTTTATTATTTAAGTCTTAAAAAAATTTATATGCAAAAATCTATGTTGCTTAGATTAGTCAAAATCCTTGCGGGAATCGTATCGTCCTGACACGATTTGGGTGTGGGTGTCAGATACGGAATAAATTTAATCAACCTAACATGGGTGCTTTTACTACGACTGTGGCCGAGTATAGGTTGATCGGGTATTTGGTTTGATTTTGAGTTTGTGTCTATATATGTTCACAATGAAGCACTAGAAAGAATTTAATCATACTAGCTTTAATTTAATAATTACAATTAATTGGAAAAAAATATACTTGTATATGTCGTAATATACATTTGTTTAGTATATCTTGACACCCTTACCCATACTCCTAACCGTATCCGCGAACCTAAGATTTAATTTAGGTGATGACAAATCCGACTTCTAGATCTGTTCCCGTGCGCACATCCGTATCAAAGCAGCATAGTACAGAACGATACAGGCAAAAGAGTCCCATGCCATGACTAGAATCATTTCCTATCTTCCATCTAGTTCAAACAAGGATTTCATATGTCACCACTTTCCAGACATATAACATAAGAAACAATTGGAAGTTACCATAGATATAGCTGCATGAGTTATCTGCAATACGTCTATGCAGGCGACGGCACATCCATCTGCAAAAACATATATTAAACTTGATAGTGGGAACCACTTTTCACTATTAAAATCAGAATATGAAGAAGCAAAAGCTCACCTCTATCGAGAACGGGAAGGTGCAGAAACTTCCCATCATGCATTATATGGAGAGCCTCAAGTATTGTTGTCTCTAATGTTGCGCATTCAGGGCTTGGTGTCATTACCTATAAATATGACTAAGTCTTAGTCAAAACGCTTTTTACTTGGACAAGAGACATAGGGGCTAAAGAGTGAGCAAACACAGGATTATTTGTGATCCCGCATAATCTCAAATATTATCAATTTCGGTGTGTAGACCAAAACGAACCATTCTTCTCCGAGCCATTTCAGTTTAAAACGATGTTTAAAGAGCGTTTATCTCTATAAGAAGGGTGTGTTCCGAGCTGTGAAATAGGAGAGAAGGGATGCAACAATTGGGGTTTTGAATAAAAGGACATGCTAATTACATCAAAAGAGTAAAAGACAAAAATAAGTTGTTCAAAAAGTCCAGCAATGAAGACCACCATGTAGATGGAGCAATGAGGGAACTTCCAAAAACAAGTTCAGCTGCCAGTAATCAATCTGAATGAGCACCTCAGAACTTCCATGAGAAGGATGTTTGGTGTTAATTAAAGAATAATATGTCAAATTCAGATCCAGAATCCTCTTAATGTTCAAAATATGCACCAACAAGCCACATACATAAGTACCAAATAACATCATGTTACTTCCTCAACTATCAGGTCACCTATTTAACAACGAAATACATCCTATGGTGCTTTAACAATAATAAAATAGTTAGGGACTTGTCCCTCCCATCTTTACCTAAGAGACATAATTGCAATTCCCCATGATCCTTATGTTTCACATCCCTGCCACAATACAACCTTCCCCAAACAAGTGAACTTGGCAAGATCAAATAATTATTTTCAGAGGTGATTAATTGGAAATGAAAATTTTATTTTTCTGATTGAAGTTGTCTTTTGATGGTCCTGTTGAAATCATTATTTAGATACTAAGATTAGTAATTGTAATTGCACTTTGATTATTATAAGTACTGAATCTACTACATTCAGCAGTATTTTGCTTTTGGTAACAAGTCTGTGCTACACTTCTCGTTTTTCGTTTCAAGGCTCATGGATTTTGTCACTTCTCTTTTTGGCACTTTTTGCTTTTAAAAACAGTGAACTAACAAAAAATATTATAACTCTCATTAGACGGCTATAAATAAGGAGAAAACAAAACCTTTTCCACCAGTGTCAGCTCAGGGGATAGATTTTGTGCTACAACACGCATGAGAATATCTTTTGAGCTGCATCACAATACCAGCAGACATCTATTAGCTATGCACTACATAATCGCCAATGCTTGGGCATGAGAAGATTACATTAGTAAATGTACATAGAATTGAAGCTTGTTGAGGAAAAGGTAAATACGTCAATATCCCCTGAATTTTGTTTCCAACTGAAATTATAGCTGAGTTGACCCGTAATTCTCGCATCTTCTTAGCAGCAACATACACAGGATCTGAGGGGCATACTATTGCCACCCTGATGACATAACAAGATTCCAATTCAGGTACTCAAAGTCAATTTAACACATTCTTCTCAAATTTAAGATGAAGTAGGGAAGTTAGTTATACTTAGTATTTTCAGAAACAATGGCTGACAAAGAGGGCTTGAACATCCGCTCCCTCAATGTTTCTATGAATGCAGATGGAGCTGAAACAGAGTTCAGAAACCATAACACGGTTAACCATAACCCCAGACGTATAAGTTTATTAGGAGCTTAAAGTAATCAGGAACAATTTGCTGCAAGCAACAAATTGAGAGGAATGCAAATTGACCAAGCATCAAGTGTAGACAGCTTATATCATTAGTGCATGTTAGCTAAGCAAACTTGGATACACATCTACAAACACTCATCAACTTTGTTTCAAAGTCACACACACACGCTCTCTACTCCATTCATAAGTAATGGTCTTTGTAAGGCCAAACAAATCCACAAAAAGCATCTCACAAACACCGATATTATAGCATTTGGTTGCAGACCCGAAGTTAAGACTGATGTATCATTCAAAACTCTCTACCAAATAGTGGTTCAAAACTCTCTACCCACAACGAAAAAGGTCAAAATTGAAAAAAGAAAGTTAAAAAATACTAGGTGATCCTGAATTGCACTCTCTCAAGTATCCCTTGCTATACTTGGCAACTCTCCTGCAATAAACAATAAATCTGAATAGAGATACACTGTAGCCTCACATATGTGCAAGTAACTGCTAATTTCTTGCAGGTAATTAGTAATAGAATCTTGTCCCTCAAGTACAGCACCTATTGGTAGTGCCTTGTATTAAATTCAACCTTGCTTGTTACATCGGTCTCTTTAGGTAGATTATTTGTGCTAGTACGTGCTTGAGTTGTTGTTCTTGTTTTTGTACTTGTTCTTGACACCTTTAACTTGTTATGTTTTCATATTCTTCGCATATTTACTTTATTGGTAGTGCCTTGTATTCAATTCAACCTTGCGTGTTACATCTGTCTCTTCCGGTAGATTAATTGTGCTGATACATGCATGAGTTTTTGTACTTGTTCTTGACACCTTTAACTTGTTAAGTTTTCATATTCTTAGCATATATTTCCTCTGTTTTAGCTCTCTGTTGGTTGAGTGGTAGTGATTAAGTAGTACCCCTTAGTCTATAGTGGTTGTGCTTAACGATGTGAGAGTAAGGTCATGTCCTCGGGTGGGGCGGGAGGTGAGGGCAAGGGTGGGAAGGGGGACAAGGAAGCTTCTAGGCTGAGAGTTGGGTCCTGGAACATAGGAACGTTGACAGGTAAGACTATAGAGTTGGGTAGGATTTCTCAGAGAAGGAGGATCAACATAGCGTGTGTCCAGGAGACCAGGTGGATGGGTACTAAGGCGCGTGATGTTGACAGGTATAAAATGTGGTACTCTGGAGGTGCTGGGGGCAAAAATGGGGTAGGTACCTTCGTTGACAGGGATCTTAGGGAGCTAGCGGTCGAGGATAGGAGGTTAAGCGATAGGGTGATGGCTGTTAAGCTTGTGGTTGGGGGGCTTACTTCAAATGCGATTAGTGCGTATGCTCCTCAAGTAGGCTTGGGCGAGGAGGTCAAGAGGCATTCTGGGAGGACTTGGACGAGGTGGTGCGTAGTATTCCGCGCACCGAGAAGCTTTTCATTGGAGGGGATTTCGATGGCCATATCGGGGCTAATGCTGGGGTTATGACCAGTGTTATAAATAGCGCTCGCCTCAGCGCTAATAGCGTGAGGCGAGGCGAGGCGAGCAACCTGCGCTATTTTGCCTCTGTAGCGTTGCGATTGTAAAAGGCGAGCGCCTCGGCTTGTGTAGCGAGAGGCGCTGTGTAGCGAGAGGCGAGCTGTGGCGTCGCCTTTTGAAAAAAAAGAAAGAAAAAGGCACAGATTAGGGCTTAAAACATTAGGGCTTGCGGTGATTTCACGTTTCTTTCTTCTTCAACCTTCAAACAACAGAGCACCCAAGTCCACCCAGCCCAGGTAAGCTTCTCTTCTTCTTTCTCCTCTCTTTCTTTCTTCCTTTTCCTTCTTCTTCTCTTCTTCTTTCTATTTTTTTGCTCTGTTTTTTGTCGAGCAAGAGTGCAGAACGGAGAGTCTGTCTGTTGCTCTGTTTTTTTTTTCTTTTCTTCTGATCTTCTCTTCTTCTTTCTATTCTTTTTGCTCTGTTTTTTATCGAGCAACAGTGCAGCAAAAAAAGGATAGAGAATCTGTTTATGCTCTGTTTTTTTTTTCGTTCTTCTTCTTTCTTCTTCTGGTCTTCTCTTCTTCTTTTTTTGTTGCTCTGTTTTTTATTGAGCAGCAGTACTGCACCTTGTTTTTGCAGAGGCAGAGAACTTCTTCAAAACTTCAAACCTGAAATTTCCTCCTTTTTCAGTTATAGAGTAGAATTAATTGCATATTGTGAATTGATATATTTATTAATATATTATTGTTATTGAGTTTTTAGTTATATATATAATATTTTATTTTTTTTGTATAAATTGTCGCCTCACATCAAAAAGGCGAGCGCTTCGCTGCGCGCCTCTCGCCCCAGTGAAGCGGGCCCTCCTCGCTATTTGTCGTTGCACGCTATCCAAAACACTGGTTATGACGATGTCCATAGAGGGTTCGGATTTGGAGATAGGAACGAGAGAGGTACTTCGCTGTTGGATTTCGCTAGAGCTTTTGATTTGGTGGTAGCTAACTCGAGTTTTCCGAAGAGGGAGGAGCACGTAGTCACTTTCCAGAGTACGGTGGCCAGGACTCAGATACATTATCTTCTCTGCAAGAAATGTGATAAAGGTCTTTCAACTGATTGCAAGGTCATCCCGAGTGAATGTCTCACGACCCAACGTAGGCTCCTGGTAATGGATATGGGGATCAAGAGGAATAGAAAGAAGAGAGCAGTGTGCAATCAACCTAGAATTACATGGGGAAACTTAACTAATGGCAAAGCCCACGAGTTGGGGGAGAGGTTGCTGGCTACAGGGGCATGAAAGAGTAATAGGGACGTGACTGCGATGTGGGCCATGACAGCGAACTACATTAGGGAAGTTGCAAGAGAGGTTTTAGGGGTTATGAAGGAATACCCTGGGGGGCGTATAGGGGACTGGTGGTGGAATGCGGAGGTCCAAGGTAAAGTTGAAGTCAAGAAAGCGGCTTATTTGAAACTAGTGGAGAGCACAAACGAGGAGGAAAAGAAGACGAATTGGGAATGATATAAAAAGGCAAATAAAGAGGCGAAGTTACGGTGGCTAAGACTACTGCCTTTGGACGCATGTAGGCGGAACTTGGGAGCAAAGGCGGGGACAAGTTGTAGAGGTTAGCCAAAGTGAGGGAGAGGAAGGCTCATGACTTGGACCAAGTGAAGTGCATCAAAGACGAGGACATCATAGTATTGATGGAAGACGCTCGTATTAGACGAAGATGGCAGACATACTTCCACAGACTGTCGAATGAGGAGGGGGACGAAGCATTGTGCTAGGTGAATTGGAGCACTCTGAGAGTCGCCGTGATTTTGGCTATTGTAGGCGTATTAAGGTCGAAGAGGTTATGGGAGCGATGTGTAAGATGAGCAGGGGTAGAGCGACTGGGACAGACGAGATCCCGGTAGAATTCTTGAAGAATGCAGGTCGTGCAGGCGTGGAGTGGCTAACTGGTTGTTTAATGTTATCTTTAAGACAAAGAAGATGCCCGAAGAATGGAGGTGGAGTACGATGATTCCGTTGTACAAGAACAAGTGTGATATCCAAAACTCCAATAACTATAGGGGTATCAAGCTGTTGAGTCATACTATGAAAGTTTGGGCGAGGGTGGTGGAAGTCAAGGTGAGGAGGAGTGTGTCTTTCCGAAAATCAGGTTGGATTCATGCCGGGGCGAACGACTACGGAAGCCATTCATCTGGTGAGGAGATTGGTAGAGCAGTATAGGGAGAGAAAGAAGGACTTGCACATGGTGTTTATAGACCTACAAAAGGCGTACAATAAAGTCCCGAGGGAGGTTTTGTGGAGATGTTTGGAGGTTAGCGACGTTCCGGTAGCATACACTAACGTGATCAAGGACATATATGATGGTGCTAAGACTCGAGTGAGGACAATGGGAGGTGACTCAGATCACTTCCAGTAGTGATGGGTTGCACCAGGGCGGCTCTTAGCCCGTTCCTATTTGCTTTGGCGATGGATGTGTTGATGCAGCACATTCAATGGGAGGTGTTGCCATGGTGCATGTTATTTGCCGATGACATAATGCTGATTGATGAGATGAGAGGCGGGATTAACGCGAGGCTGGAGGTTTGGAGACACACCCTGGAGTCTAAAGGTTTCAAGTTGAGCATGACCAAAGCGGAATACTTGGAGTGTAAGTTCAGTGACAAGACTCATGAAGCAAACGTGGATGTGAAGCTTGATACCCAAGTCATCCCGAGGAGCGGTAGTTTCAAGTACCTCGGGTCTATAATCCAAGGTAATGGGGGAGATTGATGATGAGGTATCCCACCGTATTGGTGCGGGGTGGATTAAATGGAGGCTCGCATCTGGTGTTTTTTGTGATAAAAAGGTGCCACCAAGACTTAAGGGTAAGTTCTACAGAGTGGTAGTTAGACCTACTATGTTGTATGGGGCTGAGTGTTGGCCAGTCAAAAACTCCTATGTTCAGAGGATGAAAATAGCAAAAATGAGAATGCTAAGGTGGATGTGTGGGCATACCAGGAGAGATAAGATTAGGAACGAAGTTATTCGGGACAAAGTGGGAGTGGCCTCCGTGGAGGACAAGATGCGGGAGTTGAGGTTGAGATGGTTCGAGCACGTGCAGAGGAGTACAGATGTTCCTGTGAGGTGTAAGAGGCTAGCCATGGCGGGGCTAAGAAGTGGTACAAGTAGGCCAAAGAAGTATTGGGGAGAGGTGATTAGGCAGTACATGGCGCTACTTCAGCTCACTAAGAACATGACCCAGGATAGAAGGGTATGGAGGTCGAGGATTAGGGTAGAAGGCTAGTAGGTAATCGAAAGTTCCCCGCTCTTTTCTAGTAGTACTAGTAGAGCTCTTGTTTTTTTTCATATTCTTTGACCTGTAGTATTTGCCTATTGTTTCGTTCGCTCCGTGTATCGTATTTTCATGTTTGTCACTATTTGATGCTACTTTATCTTTTACTTCTTCTTCTTCTTGTTGTTGTTGTCTTTTTCTCCTTTCCTTATCGTCCTTTGTCTCCCTCTTCTTTCTTTCTTCTTCCTCTTTCTTCTTCATCTTCTTCCCTTTTCTCTCTTTTCACCTTTTCTTGAGCCGAGGGTCTTATCACAAACAGCTTCTCTACCTCACCAGGTAGGGGTAAGGTCTGCGTACACACTACCTTCCCCAGACTCCACTTGTGAGACTATATTGGGTATGTTGTTGTCATTGTTGTTGTTGGATCGGAGGGGTGTAAGATAGCTTGTTAATCCTAATCCGTATGATATGCTCCCAAACCTTGCTTTCTTCTAGTTGCTGCTAGAATTTTCAGCTAAGCCTCTCAAGAGTGATGCCTAATAACCCATCCATGACCACCAATAGTCAATAATGCAACTTCTGAGTCTGGCCAGAGCTGGCACATCACAGGGGAAAACTAGGGAGAGGAAGAAGGTGGTGTCAGTTCATGCTACAAGAATGTGCTTTTGTTCGAGTGCACCCTTATTCATAAGATTTCTATGAAATATCAGACTTGTTCCCCAAGACATAGCATCCCCCTTTGGGTGTCTTGCAGGCTGCAGCTACTTCATGTTTTTTTCTTCCTTTAATGATAAAGTTGGAGCTACTTCATGTTGTCTTTTCCTTTTCCCTTTTCGGTGTTTTTTCTTTTTTGTGGGCCAAGATAACAAAATTTAAATTCAATATTAGCAGCATCAATAATTACTGACTCTAAAGCTGTAAAATAGAGTATTATCAGCTTTGAGTCGATTTTTCCTGTGAAGGGCTGTTCTTTGACAGACGTCAAAAGAAAAATGGACCACACTATAAAAAGAAAGCATGAAAAAGATTATTACTGTACATACAGAAATCAGAGCTTTTCTACGAGACAATGCATAAAATTAACTTTTGGTACATGATCGCAACAACTAGCACTTCCACGAAGCTCTATTGTCGCTTGGAGCACAACTAACCCGAGAAGTTATTTCCCCACTGCCGTTCAACTCCTTCAACAGCTGCAGCAATTGCACTTCCCTGTTCTGCAGCTTTCTCCATCCTTGATATTGCATCATAAAGGCATTTTGTAATATCGAGTATTGCTATAACTTCACCATTTTCCACAACAGGAAGATGGCGAAATTTACCTGTTGAAACGAGCAAAACAAGACGACAATAAAATAAGAATAAAGAAATATGTCTCTTATCAGATTATTTTTTACTCGCGGTTTTCTCAAACCGGAAAATGCTTTTCTTGAGCCAAGGGTCTATCGGAAATAGCCTCTCTACCTCTCACAAGGTAGGGGTAAGGTTTGCGTGCACCACACCCTCCCCGGGCCCCACGTGTGGGATTTTACTGGGTATGTTGTTGTTGTTGTTGTTGTTGTTGTATCAGATTACTTCAAGGTGGAGATTGCAACTAAACATTGAATGTAGGATCTAACAGTTCTATTAACACCAGCTCAACGTGTATCTTAAGTACAAAAGAGAAGTCCACTAAGGGGATAACATGGGCTTTTTGTTCACCCTAGAAAAAGAAACATAATCAATTGCTATTGTTACAATTGCCATCACCTTAATAGTAGTGTTAATAATTAAAAGGGTGGCATTTCTCCATAATGTGTGCAATGGCAAATAACTTGACCAGGCATTATATCTCCTACATTGCAACACTAAAAGTTTACTGCTACCAAGCAGCTTCGAACTTTTGTAAATTTAAGCTATATGCCCCATCATGCGCCAGTCCCAACCGCAACTGCACAATTTTCATGTTAGTCACAGGAATGGCCTCCCATAGAAAAGCCAATACTAGTCTCACTAAATTAGTTCTGGAATGATTCATCGATGAAATTAGTCCAAGATGTATGAAAAGCTGTTGATTCCTTTTCTTTCTTAATGGCGAGACAAAAATCAGAGTATAAAATGTCAAGAAAGACACCTTGCACCATCTTCTGAAGGGCTTCGATAGCCAATGAATCTGCAGTCACAAAAATGGGGTTCCTGGTCATGACCTTCAAGATAATTGTCTGCTCAGGCCTCAACTCCTCAGCTATAACCCTAGTCGCAATATCCTACACACAGAAATCCAAATTTTAAAAATAATAACAACGTAAGCCAGAAACAACTAATTTCCAGTGCTGCAACAAGTGTCTTTAGCTTTACTTTCATATATGAACCATACCTATGTGTTGTCACTTCCCTCCATTTTTAAAGCCTAACAACTCCCAAGCCTACTCATAGATAAGGGAGGAATAGCCTTTTGGTAAAGGCCCTCCACATATAAGCATATCTGAAATAAAATATTACTAAAAAAATAGAAAATGAAAAAACAACAACAACAACGTCCTTCGTCTACTTATCTATTTGTGGTCTCATTGAACACTACCAAGTTCATTAAAAGTTAATTATACAAGACTCCCTAATATATAGAATGGAAATTTTCTTTCTTCCTGAACCAACCATTTTAGTGTTAAATTCTTCAGAGATGCATAAACCCTAGAATTAAATCATTTTAAAAAAGCAGTATACCGAACATTTGAATACACAAAAACAAAAACATAAAATAAGAAAATAAAATAAGAGAGCAAGAAAATGATCATTTTCAGAAGACCTTGTCAGTTACTATGCCAGAGAGTAAGGCATTTGCGTCAGTTAGCAGAACAGCATCAACTCGTCTCGCTGCCATCCGCCGACATGCCTCAGACACGGTGGTCCCCTCCGGAATTGTTAGTGCCTTCGATAACCTCAGCTTCTTCACTGTTCTCTCCCCAGCAACAGACCTAAACGCACACATCTCAGCATCTAGATGCATAAAAAACATCCACCGCCATGCATAAACATTGCCATAAAAGTGCAGAAACACTCTAATGTTATGTTAATTATACCATTCCCTCCTACAGACAAGCCAAACAACTGTCTTGTTACCAAAAGAGTTCTTTCAAATTTGATGAAACTTCTTTCTAAAAGGTAAAGGTAATATTATTATTTTTTACCAGGAAAAAAATTATTATTAAATCAGTACCAAGAAGGTACTAGAGAAAGTTCAAAAGATTGGAACTGTTTCCTCAGAGAGTCCAAAAAATCCTAAAACTCTGGCATGCTATCTAAAATTGTTGCTCGTACTCCAAAAAATATTGATTTGTAAACATTTAAGCTTTACAAAAGGAATATAGTCTGTCCTTCCTTCAAAGCATCTACCGTTTCTTTTGATCCACACAGTTATGTTCAAATGATGCACGAGGGAATAGTCTTCCAATCCTTTTGCACCCGGTGTCAACCTTCTGCTCTTCCCAATATATTATTAGCTTCCTCACATCCAATGGGATTAACCAATTTACTCCGAACCAGAGTACTCAAAAGCAAAAAGCGAAAAAGAGCACCAAAGTCTGTAGCGACTTTAAGCGCAAAGCACAATTTAAAAAATGTAACTATGAACACAAACAACAATTATTTAGACTTAAGCATGGAAATACTATAATAAAGCTATATATATATATATATATATATATATATATATGCAGTACTCTACCGTTTTAAGAACTATATATATGCAGTTAATATCATGTCAATCAATTTGAAAGGCCACATATATTTCTGATTTAGATGAAAAGGTGTAGTTTTACGTTGTTACTGGTTAGTTTTCTTATACTAAATATCTAATTTCTTATTCTTAATCACTAAAAATCCAGTGATGGCATTTTCTTGACTATTAATGTATCACTTTGTCAACTTTTTATTGTATGGTGCGACGCTCTTAAGGACACCCCATCGGTGAAGACGCACACGTGACACACCTAGAACCTTGACGCCTACATTAAAGCACTAACTAAGGGAGACGAAGCGCACAATCTGCGCTTCAAGTTGGTAAGTATTAACGCTTCAATTCTATTTCTACGGCAGATGATCATAGAAGTCAACACGAGATAGTTTACAAATAGAGACCAGATCTGCCAGGTATAGCAACAATGCAAAAATACATGACTACTACTGTCCAGGGAACTGCTAAAAGGAAACACCTATTGCATACTGAAAACCCCCCTTCTTTGAAGTTTGTTAAGGACAACACCCTTGCTGCTAACAACCCAACTCCCCATTTTAATTCTCTCAACAATTCTAGAAGAGAACTCAAACATGAAGTGAATTCTATTTAGCTCCTTGACTTTCACCTTGTCCGGAATTTGTCTAGTTTTTTCAGCCCATTGTTGAACCTCTAAACAACTAAGCATAACAGTGGTGGAATCTCCAAAATCCAATTAAGCATGTGCAGATAATCTACTCTGGACTTCATAGAGCTTTTGTCAATCCAGAAAGTGTTACCATCCAACCCTTCTCCATCCAAAATCTTAAAATCGTCACTGGCCATCGTTTAATCTGAGCCACTTGATCGAAGCTCAACTTTCTTTGATCTTGCTCTAAGTTTTCACTCCGAACAATACCTTTCTCGATAAATTTAGTAATCTTGCTCACATACTCCCTCCATCCAAGACTTTCCCCCTATTTCTGGAATAATTATCACAGAATTTCTCGTACCTTTTCTTAACATCACTCAGATATATGTCCACAAGCATTAAAATTTTGGAACATGAAATAGGAATAGAGTTGACTAGTATTTTTCCATCTTCTACAAATCCTCCCTGTGCCTTCCGTAGATAACTGTAAGCATTTACAAAAGGCCAAAATGCTCAATTTAATGAACTATTGAAGGGAAAAAAGATTAAAACAGCAATTTCATCCTTGGAAAAAAAAAGGTAGAAACACTGATGATAAGATACAGCTTGTAACCCTCTGAAAAGAAACCTGATGGATAAGTTGCAGCTTCTAACCTGCGGAAAGAAGGTTTGACTTCAACATCTCACATTCTAACTCTACACCACTACTCTGTTTTTGAAACAAAAACAGTTAATATGGTTCAAAGGTATATCCATTAAGTGCAGACACCGCTCTATAGTAAGTAGATCATATCATAAGTAGATCATATCATTCCATTCACGTAGAGAAAGCTGAACCAATTTTACATTACCAAAAACAATTATTAGAATTCTGATGAAAAAGATAACAACTATTACAACCTTCCAGAGAAGATGGAAACATTGGAATCTAAATGAACAAGCAAATAAAGCTTGATCCTTCAACTTTATATACTATTCTGCACCCGATTGGCACGAAAGAGAAAAGACAAAAGAAATTGTAACCCCCCACCAAAAGGGTTTGACTTTCACAATATGCTTTCAACTATAAACCAAAATTCCATTCTCAGATTGATTCATCCATGGAAAACGAAAAAGAGGTAGAAAGATCGATGATAAGCTACAGCGTGTAAACCTCTGAAGAGAATCTGATGGATAAGTTGCAGGTTATAACATGTGCAAAGAAAGTTCGAAAGAGAAAAAGCAAAAGATATTGTAATCGCTACCGAAAGGGTTTGACTTCCACAATATGCTTTAAACTATAAACCAAAATTCTATATGAAAATCAGAGAAAAAAGAGAATAGGGCTTGCTTACGAGTGAGGTGGAGAAGAGGGCTTGCTCTGGCTAGTACCATTCTCAGATTGATTCACAGATTTCTTGACAGTTGATATGTTTCGTTTCTGTACCAAACTATTGCGCCTGGGCGCTGGAGGCACTTGACTACTCATATTTATTTTTGCGAAAACACCAATCTACACACACACATAATAATTTTATGATGAAAAAAAATAAAACAGCAATTTGATTTTCTGGGAATATTTCAAAGCAAGCAACACGGCATCAGCTACAAGTAAATAATAGAGGCAGAAAAAGAGAGGAATTATTCGGTTTTCTGGATTATTAAAATGGAGAAAGAATTCAGTAAGGTATAGGGAATTTTGGGAGGGAAGACTTGTGCGTCGAGCCTCAACCCAAACCTCTCTTCTGCTCTCTCTCCCTTCTCTTTCTCTCCCCTCTCGGCGCTCTTGCTTTTCTGATCCTGGATAGCATCTTTTCTTCTTTATTTTTCTTTTTTCTTGATTTTGCAATTATGAGTCCTCTTTTTTTACAAAATTAGTTTTTGGGTACACATCTAAGGGTGTTAAACGGGCCGGATTGACTCGGTTCCGGATCGGCCAAGACCGGTTAAACCCGAAACCGGCCCGGACCGGTTAGAGGGACTGGGCTGGGCTGGGTAGGAGGGTTAGGGGGTTGGTTCGTTTAAGTTTTTGAAAACGGATAACCGGCCCGGTTGAAATCGGAAGAGTGAACAGTAACTCTTACCGGGTTAACCGGCCCCGGCCGGCCCGGTTCAGACGACTAGTTTTTTTTTTGTTTTTTTCTAATTTTCGAAATTTGTGGGCCCCACTGACCGTTGGCAACGGTCAGACCTTGATTTGGTCCGTTGGCCAACGGAAATATTGCATAAATAGCCCTTTTTTTTTAAATATTTAACCCTTTTTCAATTTACAAAACTAACCTTCTCTAAAATTATAAATACCCCCCTCTTCTTTATTTCTTCACTCAATACTCATTTCTATATATATATCTATATCTATCTATCTATCTATACCTATATCCATATTATTATAAAAGCATGAATAATTTATGTTACATGTTAACAACAAATATATCCCTAAAGTATTAACGGACTTCTATGCGCTCAATATTGAATATTTCTCCAAAGGAAATTATTTCCTTTTCTAAGCTCGTGTGCAACTAAACTTAAAATACACGATTGTACTTTCGCATTACATCATTCCCATCAATGCAACCAAAAAGTGTCAATTGAGTAATTTTTTTCTAATACAAGTTCCGTCAATTCCGAGTAATTACTTACATTCAACAATTGCGGCGCAAGCACGATACCTGGTGTATCGAAGGGATGTACATACAGGGGATCACTGCAATCAAGTTGTTGCAAGCTTGCATGTGAAGTTCCGACTCTATTTTTAGGAGTATCAATCACCATTTGCAAGTGCTAACAAAGATTGATTGGAAAATCAAAACAAGGAAAAATCGAAAAAATCGAAGAAAGGGATCAAGAGAAATTGAGAAGTGAGAAGATATTCGAACTTCCTATTAGTTCTCTTACATTGTTGTGAGCTTAGCTTTGCTACCATGTTAAAGTGAAAACTATGGCAGCCGAGAGAAGTCAGAGGAGACAAAAAGTAGAGACAGAAAGAGATCTTTTCGTTCTAACTAAACCAACTATTTATGAGCTCTACAACCGTGTATTTGAAGACAATGTAACTAACTTCTATTCACTAACTAACTAGCAGCTAATTACAAAGATCAATGACTAACTCCTTACTAATGAACCTTCTACAAGTGTGCAGCATTAAATATTGCACTGTACAATCTGTCTATGCTATATATTTCAACAGTGTACCACACGTTTGACCAATAAATACCAATCAAAATGTTTAAATGGTATCAGAGCATCAAATGACTTCAAAACATTGGCAGGAGCCAGAATTTTTATCTGAATTTCATCATAAGCAGTTGCCATGGTAATTGAAATTTTAGCTACGTGGGTTATAGTAAAGTAGTAAAAACTACTTCATCCTTAACCAAAGGTCGGGTTCGAACCCTGGGCATGGAGTCACCTATGTTAAAAAGTGGAATACAAAGATATTTTTATAAGAAGTCTTCCCAGTCAATTTTATAAGAAGTCTTCTCAGCCAAATAATGGGAACAGAACACGCTCAGAAATGTATATAAACTGACTATTGAAATCCTCCTTCCAAGTGGTATAAGGTGTATCACCGAATATAAGGAAACGTACACCTACACCAGTTCCAATCAAATAGCGGATGCAGAGGATATATACACTTAATGATTCTTTAAAAAGATATATTGAAATCCTCCTTTCAATGTAGGGTAAGGTACATCGAGAAAAGGACGCATGCACTAGAAACTCTCAGCCAGATGATGGATACAGAGGATATACACTCTTAGAAATGATTGACCGAAAAAAGGACGCGTACACTAGAAACTCTTTCAGTCAAATGATGGATACAGAGGATATATACTCTTAGAAATGATTGAAATCCCTTCAGAAATGTTGAGATCCTCCTTTCGACTTGGGATAACATACACTAGGGAAAAGGAAAACCTACAAAGGAGAACACCTAACAGGATGACCCTGGAAATGAAGGCCATCTCCGCAAAGCAGATTTACAAAACTAACACATTATATTTTCCGGAGGAATCCACGAACTTCAGTAAGAAAGTTATGCAGATTCTTTCTGAACTTCTGGTAATTTGGCCGATCAAGTGTGAAGGAGAGATTGTTAGAGCTTGTGAGTGATTCCAGTGCATTTGTCAACCTTGTTCTGAAAGCTGGGTCAGACTGGCTCTTTATTAGTTCACTTCCCAACTTCTGCACGAAATGTGAACTTGTTTTATAGGGGTACCACTTTGAGTAATAAAATTTCTACTAAAAATCATTTTAATAAAAAAAGACTTTAATTGTATACTGCTATTAAAAATGTGGATTATACCTGGTATAGACTTTGTTCAGAAAGGATTAATGGAAGAAGAGCATCTGCAGCTGAGCCAACCAGATCAGTGCTGAAATTTATAAATAAATAAATTTAAAAAGAGAGAGAGAACAAAATACCAGGGCATTGTAACGTCAGCAAAATCTTTGAATGAAATACTAGTGGGGAATGACATCAGATACATTAACTATCGATTCCTATATATTAATCCTGCAATCATTAAATCCTACTGGCTATATTTATATTTTTTGTCCAATTCACCTGTAATCCTGAAAGAGGAGAAACTGTAGTAATGATCGAAGAAATTGGCTCAGAATCCCTTCCTGAAAGTTTCCTGTATGATCCTTGTAACCTGAAGCATGGTGACCTAGCCCCACTTTTCCAGCACATTTCTGCTTATAGTGGAAAGAAGCAAGTCCTTTTATAGCTCTTAGACACAAATCAACGACCTCTGCATCCTGTAATATAAACAACAGAAGCGTAACACAACTATGGAACTATTTCTTGTAATCATTTAACTAGCATGGTGGACAATTAGACCAACTTAAACTTGAAATGATGCCTAGACTCTCTCAAGCACTTCCCGGCATGAAACAGTATCTAAAACAATGTACCATGGACATCTTATTGTGTGGGAATGTTACCTGACACAGACCAAAATCAAGACTCGCAATGATATGAACAAAAGCTTCTCCGTTTAGCTGTGTAACCATTTCAGGGTACACCTCCAGCATGTGTGATAGCAGCGAGAAGTACTACACAGATGAAATCAATTATTAATTTTACAACAGTTTATATACGGTTAATATCAATGCAGGAAAAAAAGGGAAAAACCTACATCAAGACAAAGCTTGGGGTACTTGAGCAGGTCCAAACTGATCAGAGGGGTAACTATGTGAAGACCCGTATATACCACCTGCAATGGAATTTCTTTGAGATTGTTATATAGCATCATGAGGTTGACAGTGTACCTTGAGAGGAAAAATAAAAAGTAACAGAAGAAACTGCATGAAAACCACCTGACATATATTTGTCCCATGAGCCTCAATAGGTTCTGACGAGAGGTCAACCTACAAATAAAAGTTATATCTAGGTCACCTTACACGTGGAATATACAACAAAGAACAAGATGAAAAGATAACCATGATAAGATAAAGGAGCGTAGAAAACACCAGATCTTTCGAACATAGACTAGCAAGTAATTGGAGTAGAGCACGTAGATCCTTGTATCGTTCGGTATCAGCTTCACTCCGTAAGCTGCTTGAAATGCTCAGAGATATCTGAAGGCACATTGGGTCATTCAGGACAACATATTCTCACTTTCCATAAAACAGAAAAAATTTGCAACACATTGTTATTTATACAAAGGAATGTTGTACTCTGTTGCTGCTTCACTAAGATGGCGTGATGATTGACATACCGGGATGGGGTGCCAAAAGGGTGACCATGGCACTGATGGTTTGGGAGATGCAACAGCAGGGCTGGGAAAAGGAACAGGTGGAGGGAGCTGTGAAGGGTGTGCAGTTAGGTTGGAAAAATAAAATAAACAGGGAAAGCTTTTATTTGTTTGTGAAATCGCAAAGACCAGCTTCCTAACTGCCCAACCTGAGAGCAAACAGCTAATGTGTTCCACTTATTAACCAGGGTTCTCTGATTGGTCCATGACCACTGGATGCCAAAGTGGAGCGAAAGCTAATGTGTTCCACTTATTGCACATGGTTCTATAGTTGGTTTGTGACTGTTATGGTTGGTCTATCATCCATGACCCCTTGATTCCTTTGATGATCTCGTAATTCCTACAGGGTGGATACGATGGAGTTCGTCTATGGGATATTCATGGACTATCAGACAAATTAAGTGATTCTAATAATCCAGGAACTGAATCTATGTTTATCCTTGAGGTCAGACTAATTTCTGAATCTTGGTCGCATATTTTAAACCAGAAATTTGAAAACAAAAGGATGACTGAAGAAACCTAGTCACAAAAAGCAAGTGTCTGATTAAAGATTCTGAGCCAATCTTCCTTAGGGTAATTAAACATAGGGACTGTGGCAATATAATTACATTTCTGATGTCAATATAGTGTAAAGCTTGTTAATGAAAGTAGAAAATTTTTTGCATATTAATTGTTTTCTTTGCTTAGTTTTTACCACAAAAAGAAGGAAAATCGGGGGCATAAATACCCATGAGCACTTAACTACAACGTATCTATCTGCACAAATATGCACATTTAGGTTGGGGTTGGGAATACAAGTAAAAGTGTACTACCTTACATTATTTCCACTTAATAATCAAGTACTTATTTTGTCGTTTTATTCACCTATTATGAACGAAGGGGGCACCAGATGGAGATAAGTCAAAGATAAGTAGAACATAAGAAAGAAGAAAACATGGCCGTCAAAGATCAAGATTTGTCCTTTTTTTTTTGAACTTATCAGAAAAAGCAGGCTTAGATTGCTAGTACTACCTAGTGTTACTTGTTATCTTGGCTTCGTTCTTCTCTTTT